CGTATATAATGCAAGCCACCCCTCCTGCAGCGTCGGGGAAATACCGTCCAGTCAGACCTCACTCATTGATCATGGAGACCAAGTCGGCCAGTGTGTCTCCCGAGCAGGAGATACCGAGCTACAATGAGACGTCGAGTCAGGAAAGTCCTGCCTTAGAGCCCCAAGTGCTCGAAAAGGGTCAGACGGTGCGCATTGGCGAGGACGATGACTATGACAGCGACCAGGTGGTGAGCACGGCTCAAGATCTCGTCACTCATATCATCAAGGTCGAAGATGATCCATCCCTGAACCCATGGAGCTTTCGCATGGTCTTCCTTGGTAAGATTTTCTCTCACCACAACGTGGTCTTTTGCTAAGCTCCAGTAGGTGCCGGTCTGTCCATCTTCGGTGGTGTGCTCCAGGAGATCTTCTACTTCAAGCCGCAGACCATCTACGTCTCGCAGGTCTTCCTCACGGTCATTGCCTACATCCTGGGGGAGCTCATGGCATATGTCATTCCTCGTCGAGGCGTCATCGGAAAGTTACTGAACCCGGGCCCTTTCAATGCCAAAGAACATGCCGCCATTTCCCTCATGTCCTCCGCCGCTACACAGTCCGCGCTAGCCACCGAGGCCCTATCAGCCCAGCAGCTCTTCTACGGTGGATATCCCAACCACGCTGCTGCTGTCTTCATTGTGCTGTCCTCTCAGCTCATTGGTTTTGGTATCGCCGGTCTGCTGCGCGATGTCATCGTGCGGCCAACCAAGATGATCTGGCCCATGACCCTACCCATCACCAGTCTGCTGGAGTCATTGCACAAAGACAAGGCGCAGTCTAAGGCACGGTTGAAGATCTTCTACATCTTCTTTTGCATCCTCTTCTTCTGGACCATCATCCCGGAGTATATCTTTCCCCTTCTTGAAGGTTTCTCCATCTTCTGCTTGGCCGATCAGCACAGTCTAGTCTTCACCAACCTGTTTGGTGGTGCTTCCGGAAACGAGGGACTCGGATTTCTCTCCCTTTCCTTCGATTGGAACTACATCGCCTCGTTGGGCTCGCCACTGTGGTATCCGCTGTACGCTATGACCAACAATTTCATCGGATACCTGGGCTGCATCATCCTCTTCATGGCCGTCTACTATGGCAATATCTGGCGTTCTCAAGACTTCCCATTCTTGTCCCAGTTGCTTTACTACGGCGACTCCAACTCCACCTCCTACAATGAGTATAACCAGACCCTGATCCTCAACTCCGAGTACATTGTCGACCCTGCGGCCCTCAAAGAGCAGGGTCTGCCCTGGCTGACTGGAACATACGTGGTATACCTCATCACCTCCAACATGGGAGTGACCGCCACACTGACCCACATGCTGCTGTGGGATTTCGACGACATCAAGGTCGGCTGGGCCTGGGCTGCCCCCAGCAAACTCAAGAAATGGCTGAAGCTGGAGACCTACAAGTTCTGGAAAAACCAGGAGACCCCGGAGGAACGTCTCGCACGACGCGTCAACGACGACACACTCGATCCACACTACCGTCTTATGCTGCGCAATCTCTACCAGGATACTCCGCTGTGGTGGTGGGGTGCTGTCCTGATTGCGAGCTTTGCCGTTGGCTTAGGCTGCTTGTATGCGATGAAGTCTACGCTGCCGTGGTGGGGATTCATCGTCGGCAACATCCTCACGCTGGTGTTTATGCTCTTCTTCGGCGCGCAATACGGATTGACTGGATTTCAGTTCAACGTTCAGCCTATCTGTCAGATGCTGGCGGGCTACATGTTCCCGGGGAAGCCGTTGGCTAGTAAGTGAACTTTCGCTCGAATGTCTGACCCAGCTAACGTGCAGACCTCTACTTCACCTGCTTCACCTACAACTCGCTGCAGCAGGGACAGGTCTTGGCCAAGGATCTACGACTAGCGCAACAAGTGCATCTATCTCCGAAATGCACCTTCTTCGTGCAAGTGATGGGCTGCATCATCGGTGCTCTATTCAACTACGTGATGATGCTGATGTATGTTCCCTCCCTATATCCTACTTACCCCCACTAACTATAACCCAAGCATCGTCCGAAACCAATCCGAAGTCCTCATCTCCATCGACGGCACCAACATCTGGAGTGGCGCCAACGTTCAAATAAGTCCCCCATCCCCATCCCACCTTTTACCCCAAAGCTAACACCCCCAAACCAATTCAACAGTCTCGCCATAGCCTGGAGTATCGCCAACGACATGTTCTCCATCGGCGGCCGCTACGAATGGGTTACCATAGCCTACCTCGTTGGCTTCATTGTGCCTGTACCCTTCTGGCTCGCCAACCGATACTACCCGCATCCGATCTTCTCATACCTCAACACCTCCATCATCCTCTGGTACATGGGCTGGTTGTTCGTGGGTATTAACGCCTCCATCATGTCGTACTTCCTGCTGGGATTTGCGGCCCAGTTCTGGCTCAGGCGGTATCATCCTCAGTTGTTTAATAAGTATAATTATATTGTCTCGGCGGCGTTGGATGGTGGCACGCAGATTTGTGTGTTTATTCTCACCTTCGCGGTGTTTGGTGGGAGTGGGGTGGAGCATGCGTTTCCGTGAGTTTCCTTTCCTTTGGGGTTCTGAGAGAGTGTGTGAGGTGCTAATGGTGGGATAGGACTTGGGCGGGAAATCCCAATACTGATATTCATAATTTGGATTATTGCAAGGTCAATCCGGCCACTTTGTAGGTGTGTGGCAGGTGTGCATGAGTTGGTCATTTCCGGTGTGTGCAGATGGAGGGAGTGGTGAGGGTACTTTCTAGACTCCATGAGGTGGAATACCTTCAATGTAATACATTATGAACCACTATACAAGGGATTGAATGGATGATAACCTAAATATGGCATCATAGTCCCAATCATCCGTAACAAGCACTGCCTATGATAGATTTTCGTTTGACTCGCCGGGAATGGCAACACGGAGATAGCAATGTCCAAGCTAAACAAAACAGACTACGGGATAAAAAATACATTTTAAGAAGCCGGTTAACCACAATGAACTTGTAAAGAAATTCGTATTCTCACATATCCTCAATCTACATCATACATCCCATCTACTCCTTGGCCCCAGCAAACGGACACCCCGAAGCAGTCTTCTCCTCGCCCTCCACCTTAAGCTGTTCATGGTCCTTGGCAATCTGGCGGAACATCTCCAGAGGGTCAAACCACACATCAATGCGCTGCAGCTTGAGGGCATCATTGACCTTGGCGATCACAATACCCTGAATATCGATAGGTCCACCGTGCGCAGCGATCTTGACCTTTTCTCCCTTGCTATACCATTATTAGTTCCCACCCACACATAAATCACCGTTCGGGAGGAGGGTATTGAACATACTCATTGAATCCAACATAATCCCTAGCCATAACGCCCCAATGCCTCCACTTAAACACCACGACCGGCGGCCCGCTATATACCTCCAGCACCTCCCATGCAAACGTCGGCATCATGCGCTTAAACGACTTGTGACTCGCCTCGAAATCATTATTGGCGGGATCGTAGTACGCACTCGGCGTGAGGAGCGCATTGTACGTGCCGACTTTCAGCATGTGTTCGCCGCTCAACGGGGGCCCGCCGTTCAATGTGAAGTGGTATGTCTCGTGGTCGATGGTGCGCCAGTCCGCGAGGTTGGTCTTGAAGGACGCTTCGATTTCCCAGTTCTTGACGAGGTTCTCGACGAGGAAGGGGAGGCTGCCGGATTCGTGGGTCATTTTCTTGGCTGTTGGTTTAAATTGTTAGTATTGATCTGGGGAATGGTTGGATTGGGAAGACGGCGTACTCTCTTCGTAGTAGGCCCGGGTCTTGCTGTAGTCCGGGGGACCACCGTGACGCCAGGCGGCGTCTGTGTCGTTGAGGACCGCATTGGGGTCCAGAACGTAGTCGGGAAGTCCTGCGGCGTCGCCCATTGTGTTGTGTGGTGTATGCTAGTGGAAGTTGGGGAAATATTGAGTAAAGAACCAACAGGGGTAGATAGCCAGACTATATATCCTCCACCCAGGCTAGAGTCATGTCCGTCTCCGCCTCTCAGGAGACGTGGCCTATAACAATGGCCTCGGTTTGTTCGAAGCCACTGCGACAATAGGAAGCACTAATTTTTGCCTAGCAGTGGGGGTGTCAGCCGGCTTAAAGTCAGATTTAGTGTTCAAGATAGCGCACATGGCCTATCTATCTAGACCGGTTGCAAAAACGGCCAGGTCGCAGCCGTTTGTTATCGCGCTGGTTTAGTCTGCGACCGGTGGTGGTAGTCATTTGAGGTGCAAGAAGCAGAAGACTGATGGGAGGGGTCGGGATGCATTGACCAGACAGAGGGGCCATTGTTGTTCATGGTTACACTGTACTGGGTCCTCGTGGGGATCATTGGATCGATGGATCGTCTTGGCCTCAGCTCGCTGTCTCCATCCGAGGCTGTCAGCCCCAACATCATACCAGCCCCGCGGTGCGAGGAATCTGTCTAATTAAAAGGATAAGTAGGCAAAACTTTTGATGATACTCATGTCGACCACCTGCGACTGATAAAGAACTGGCATTGTTTTCTTTCTCTCAGTGACAATGGGCAGAATATTATTGTATCGCCCAAATCATGCCATTGTCGCGTGTCTCCGACGGGGTTGCCTGCGATGCAGGGGTGAGATCTTAGGTCAACATCCGCGCTCCAATAAAGCAATCGCGCTTACACATCGTTCCTCACTTAACAAGCCATGGTGAGTTCTGAGAGGCACGTTTGGTCGTGGTGGATCAGATGTTTATAATAGACATTTTAGGGCGCTTGGCCGGTTTCCCGCCGGATTCTGGCGGATAGAGCCACTCCCATCCCCGTGCGCCCTAATTGGCACATCGGCGTTGGGTGGAGATTCGGCCGACGCCCTCGTGGCCGCACAGAACTCATGATTGGTGCTAGGTTCATATCGAAATAGATTGAATTATATTACCCAAGGCTCCTGTTGGCTGCTCCAACAAACTTTGAGATACTACGTAGCTACATAGCGAGAAGACCAATTTTATCATCAAAACTCGAACAGCGCAAGTGACCTCGGTCGCCGCCCTAAAGGCTTAGTTCCTAGAGCGACCAGTCTATCACGAACGGCCACATGCCCGCGGTAGTCGGGTGGTATCCAGAGAACTTTCTTCCCATTCACAGTGATCCATTGCTGCTTCACAAGACAAAGCTCCGGTTTCGGTAGAATGTCAGCAGGAATTGTGGGATCGGCTGTCGGAATACTGTAAAGCCCGAAAGTCGTGTCCAGATGAAGCCCGTCTTTGGTGAATGAGAGCTCCCCTAAGAATCCAGGTATTTCAATCCGATGCAGCAGAGCACCAGTGTTCGTGTCCCAGACGTTGATCACATTGTCAGCAGATGCAAGCCACTGTCCATCGGGTGAGAAAGCCAGAAACCTAGCCATGTACTGGTGACCCTGCATAACATGTTGAAGAGCACCAGTAACAGAATCCCAGAGTTTGATGGTCTTGTCTTCAGCGATGGATGCAAGCCTCTGTCCATCTGGGGAGAACAATACTCTCAGAACACTGCCATCATGTCCCTCGAGTGCTCGATGCAGAGCATCACTCGCTGTACCGCTGCGGAAGGTGCTGCAATCCCAGATCTTGATGGTTTTATCATACGATCCCGATGCCAGCCATTTGCCATTCGCAGAGAATGCCAGAGTTGATATACCACGGCTATGCTCCTCGAGGATCAACCGCAGGGCGCTGGTCGCGGGGTCACCTTGGAGCGCCAGACCCAAGTCCCAGATCTCGATGATACCGTCAAAAACACCACATACGAGCCATTGTCCGTCTGTCGAAAAGGCCAGTGTGGAGTAGTTTTCAGTTCTTGGTGGTGTTCCCTCAATTTCCGACTCTTCAGATTTGATATCCAAGTCCCAGAGCTTGATGATGTTGCCCGCAGAGCAAGATGCCAGCAGTCGCCCATCAGGAGAGAATGCAACACTTTGAGCACTAAAAGGTTGGCCGACTAATGTCTGCTGCACCATGCCAGTGGTCAAATCCCATATCCTGATCGTTCTATCGTGGAGCTGGCTGGATGCCAAAAATCGTCCATTGGAGGAGACGGCCACTGCCCAAACTCTATCTGTCACGTTCCCGAGCGTCTGTCGCACGGTACTCGTCTCCAGGTCCCAGATCTGAACAGCACCCGCTCCAGACGCCAAGTGCCCATCCGGGAAGAAGGCTACTGCCTCGACAAACCAACTAGCTTTCTCAAGTGTATGTTTCAGCTCACCTGATATGGGATCCCAAAGTTTAATGCTCTTGTCATCGGAGCCAGACGCTAGCCATTCCCCGTCGGCCGAGAACGCCACAGACCAAATACGACTGAAGTGGCTTTTCAGTGTCTGATGTGAGCTGCTCACCAGGTCCCAAATTTTGACCGAATGGTCGTCGGAGCCAGATGCTATCAGCAGGCCATTAGCTGAGAAGGCTACGGACCAAACCCTGTCCTCGTGGCTTCCCAGGGTCTGGCATGAACCGGTCGCCAGGTCCCAGAGCCTGATAGTATTGTCGTGAGACCCTGATACCAGTGAGCGTCCATCTGGTGAGAAGGCTGTTGATACCACCGAGTCGTCATGACCCTCAAGGCTCTGGTGCAGCGTACTGGTCGCCACATCCCAAATCTTGATGGTTTTGTCATCGGAGCCTGAAGCCAGCCATCGTCCGTCTGGTGAAAAGGCCACCGATCGAACCGCCATGCCATTATGGCCATCAATGCTTTCCAAATCCGCACTCCAATATTCATCAGCCTCTGGCAACCTCTTAGTCCATCTGGGTATTTCACTCCCTCTTCCAATGAGTGACTTGGCCGGGGCGAATATCAACCCTGAGCAATACACTTGAAGTGGCGCAACATCAGATATACGTCGACACTTCAGCATGAACCGTTTTGCGTCATATAAGAATCTGGATGCTTCGGACTCTTCCTGTTTCTACAAATATCTTCAGTATCCACAACAAAAAAATGGGTTCAATGGAAGTACCTTTATCATCGACTGAAGGGTCTCGATATTTCCAACAATCTCGGATGCATAACCTAAAAGACACATGACTTCGGCCCAGTGAAGGAAATGTTCTCGGAAGAAAGCGTGGATTTCATCCGCTAGCTCCACTGGGTCCTTGCACTGTGCTATATGGCGTATCCAGTATCGGCAGCAATATTCTAGTTCCGATGGTATGAAACCTCTCACGGGTTTCCCAAAGGTGTCTGTGTTGATTTCAGTTCGCTCAAAACCTTCATATGGGAGATCGCACATATTCCTTTTTAGTCTGCTTCTCATGATCTCAAGACACTTGCCAGCGAGCTTTCGGTGCGTTAGCCTACCGTCTACCCAGAAATCAGTCTTCTCACGCGTCTCTGGGTCGAGTAGAAAGTCTCGAAATGACAAGTGGAAGAGTCCGACAGGCTTCGTCTCGTCACCTGGGATATTGAGTACCGCATGGAGTCGGCCCAAGCGAGTATTAATAGTGCTCCTCCGAATACCAAGGATCTCAGACAGGGAGCTGACAGAAAGTGGCGCCTCAAGTATTATGATTGTGCCAATCACTTCCTGGAATTCTTCGACAATCATTTTGTGCCGCTTGCCGCTATGAGTCGAAAGCCTTTGCAGTACTGGAAGGTATGTTCCATCCAACTTCGATTCTTCATTTTGGTATTCGAGGATTTCAGTGAGACTTTGTTCAGGATCCAGATCGTAGTCTTCAAACACACGGCACACGGTGGCCGCAAAGATGAACAAAGGTACTGACATCTTGACCAATTGCCGAAGGATGTTATCACCAGGCCAGTCCGGAGGTAGTGACCGAGTCTCCCGGATAATCCTCAGCTTATGTGTCAGGTACAAAGCAATATCGTGCTCTATCACAGGCATGGGAATCTGATGAAGAACAAGATCCCGGTGGTTATCCTTTACTGTGTCCTGTTGGAAGCCTAGTTGTATTGGTAGTTCAGGGCGGCTGGTTATAAAGGCTCGTAGCTGGACAGACTTTGACTCTTGAATACGGGGAAACAGTTGCAATAGAAGCCGTATATCCTGCTCTTCCTCGCATTCGTCCAGTGCGTCGACTACGATCACGTATGTGGTCATGTTTTGACTATCATCCAGCTCGCTCAAAGGTTCAAGAAGCAGCTTTTCGAACTGTATCCTGAAGCCACGTCTCGAGATATCTGGATCATCTTCGATGGCTTTGGAGACGCCAGTTGCGAGATCGGGGATCGCCGCAATAAGTTGTCTTGTAATTGTCGAAACAAATCTCTTCGCATGGCCGCGGTCACCTTCTCCCCTTTTGAAGAAGTAGGTCGCTCCAAGTTGGCCCTTTTCTTCAAAGCTCCTGGCGAGCGATCGTGCGATTGTCGACTTTCCTGTGCCGGCCATACCGTTCAACCAGAAGAGACACTCTCCTTGTGAGCAACTTCCCCAATCACTGGCTTGTTGAAGAAGCTCTTCCCTTGTCCCATCAAGGCACTCTTCCTCATGTTGATCTTGATATGAGTCGTAAGAAGCCCCTTCGGCATCTGGTAGGTTATAGAGATCAAATTTTCGGTGCAAATTCTTCAACAACACTATGAATTCATCTATCCGCCCAAGCAACTCTTCGGCTTTTGCTTGGCTCTGTAAATGCTCATCGTGTCTGACCCATTGGCGCAGCCTTACCTCGTCGCTTCTGATTTGTGTCTCAATTTCTTTGAGTGGGTGGCTTGTTACCGGGAAAAGGCTTTCCAGTAACCTCTCACCCACCTTGGCTTTTTGCATTCGGTGTACTTGTGCTGTATAGCGTAAGATACCTTTATAAACCTGAACGATGGCAACCTCAACCTTATCCTGTGTTGCGTAGCGGCTATCGTGATAGTGCTCCTTTTCGATAAAGGCACATCGTGTAAGAACATCGGTTAAAAACTCGGCTGATTGAAACTGGGCTTTCCGTATCTGGTGGTGATTGTATGTTACCTGTTGAAAGATTCTATTAGTTGTTACAAGTACTGAAATCTTCAGTGAACCACTTACTGTCAGTCCTAGCAACACGATTCCCCAAGCAATTGAGGCTGAACCAGTCTGATCACCCGCCACGAGCACATTGGCAATGCCTCGGAAAGATAAAGTGGCATTCAAAATCTTGTGTGCAATATCTCGGAGATTGATGTCATCCTTCTCCGGCCCCTTCCTTATCTTCAGGCCTCCTTTCTGATACTCTTCATACTGCTTCTTTGTCGCCTCGATAACGTCATCCACTACCTCCAAAGTTTTGCTACGCTGAAGGGATGGTTGTCCAACTTGCTGTATGCTTGCAAGCGTGCCTTTGTCGGCGGGAGATAGTTCCTCGTAAGCGATCTGCCACAAATCGGTTCCTTTCACCTCCGCTATTTGCTGCGTTGCATCTGGGAATTTCCCAAGGTTTTGTTGATCAAGGACCACCCGGGGGGTTGCGGACGAAGGATGACCATCTTCTCCGCCTTTGATCTTCCGCCAAATCCTCCTGGAGTAGCGTTTCATCTTGATATTTTCGTGTGCGTTTTCGATCCTCTGCGTACTTATCCTGGTTTTCACGGATACTTCGCGGTCCGGTATATATGGGCTCCGGGCTCAATTGATTTTTAGGCGTGGGCAAGGGTGAGCCGTGAGCTGCGCAGCCTCACTACGCGCCGAGATAGCGCGCGGCTGAGTAGCGGGGTAATTAGCCATCATCATGATCCTTGTTGAAGGGAGACTGATTCGTAAAGCGACGATGAAGCCATTGCAGGGGTCATTGGAGAATAGGCCAATCATAAAATACTGACCATTGCTCCTGTTCTGGATGCCATATTCAACAGCTGAGCGCCCGTTTCGGCTTAATTTTTCGCCGTGGGCACTTATGAGCTGTCATAACACCCCGCATACCTCCACGATTTCGTGGTGGTTTACAAACAGTGGAGTGACCTGTCCACCTCCATTAGCACAATCACTTTACAAATTGTTTCATAGGATCAATATTCCGCGCGTGTCGAACCGTTAGTACAACTAGCCGTTTGTTGACTGTTCGTTCCGAGCTGCCAGCGCATCACACACGTAGCCGCCTGCCAAGCACCACAATAGGAACATAATGAGCCGGTAGCAGCGAACTTTGTGATAATTGGCGTGTTGGTATCGCGTTCTTAGACGGTTTTCAGCTTTGAGTCACTCAGAATAAAAACTGCCATCGATCGAGGCCTGAAATACTTTGAGACACATATAATTAAATGGGCCTAATGGTATTCCGTCCTTGATCCTTGGGTCAAGCGCTTCGCATAAGCTTCTCCGACATTGGGATAAATAGATTCTAGAAAGTGTTAGCTTACGGCAGAGCATAAGTGGGAGCCTCAGGCAGCAAAACAAATTTCCCAGTTCGAGCGGTGCGCCAGATGCTGCCGGGCGGTACTTCTGTACACCCTCTAATGCGGCTGCTGTGCATGCATCACCTTAATTATCAATAATAGGTCAGCCTCTTGTAATTGGGGCATAGTACGCAGGATGCTTGCCGATCCAAGCTCCCATTGAGTCCTGAAAGCCTGTGTAGACCTTCCTGGAACAGTGGAGTGAACAGAACTCTAGATCTATCTTGTGGGAGAGAAAAGGGAACAAAGAAGATCAGCTGACCGGCTTTGGTGAATCAGCTCACAGTCTGTAAGTTAATAGTTAGATAACTAATAAAACCCTAATCTTGACAGCTACATTGTTTCAACAAGACAGTCAATTTTCCACCCGTCAAATGCAGACTGCCCAAGGGAGAAACTCATGGAATTAGTGCCGGCTGTCCGGTCGGAAACACTCGTCGCCGGGTATGCAGCTGCTAGACCAGACTCTGTTGTTGTTGGCAATTCGTTGACTACTATCTACCCCATTCACGACTTCAATGACATATCTACCATCATGTAGATACACTGGCGCCGCATGCTCGCAGCTGACGCAGCTTTCGCAATTAGTTACTACTTGTACCGGAATTCACAGGACCGACCTCTCCACTCTGATGATCGTCTTGGATAATCGGGCCACCTAGACATCTGCAAGGCGCATCCCGCTGCACATCGCGGCGCAGCAGAGCCTATTGACCCATTTTAGACGTTCTTCTAAAGATCGGAAATGACAGGAAAGAAATCCGGCACACTGCATTGGAAGCTACCCAGTAGTACGTAGAGCACCTGCTCGTTCAAGTTGTTTTGCCATGTTGAAAATCCGGATACTTCATCGAAGCTTGGTTGATCTGGATGCCTACGGAGTAAGCAAAAGAGGTTGTGGCTATCCAACTCTAGCTAAAAGCACTTCCTCAGTCGCCAAGAGGCTGCAGGCGGGATGGTTATGGCTATTCCATGCCCCAGGTCGCTGCCCGCGCAATGCTGATACTGAGATATGAGACAGACTGGACTAAATTCGCGCATAATGATCATGCTATCATCTCACCCCTCATTAAAGAGGACGAGCTGGCGACGATCCCCCGATGGCTGTGGGGATCGGAACTATTGAGGCTGTCCGGCCAGAATCGCCACTATTGGCCATGCTTCAAGTGATTACCGCACGACCGTATCCAACTCTCTTCAATCCTACGTCGTGGGAGAACTCCAAATTGACTTGCCGTCTTGCAATCGCGGCTTAATCACTTCGCCATTGACTGATTCCATTAATTTACGGACTGACTACTGCATGATGCGCTGGAAAGATGACGGCAGAGAGAGTGGCGGTGTAAGTTGTTGGGGGCTCGGGGCCATAGCACTTTTGCCGGTCTCGGACTGCACCAGCCACAACCTCCTGATTGGCACACCGCTCCCATTATTTTCCGTCGGGTGGATAACGTGCGGAGTTGAAGGGAGTCTGCATTCGAGCGATTTTGGATGGAGACCATCGGAACTTTGTGCTCAGTACCCAATATTTCGGCCAGCTTCAACCAATTGAATTGGCTCAGCGGCTCCGAAACGGCCGTCGTCCGGCGATTTAATTCGCCCATGTTGCTACTGCAGATCTCTCCCAAATCTCAACGCCCTATTCGGTGCTGATCCTCCCCTTTGCCCTCGCCCGTTTCACATCAGTCCTACAGCTATGGATGCGATAAGACGTCCTGGCGGAGGCCGCCGCTTGTCTATTTGAGACCATCGAGAGGAATTATGGCACCACCCTGTTACGAAGCCACGCCGACCGGCCTGATGTAATCGCATCATCTCTCGCAATTGGGGCGAGACCCCCACTGCGGCCATGAGAGAAATAGCATCGCACCTTTGCGGTGAGGGTCTGAGGTCTGAAGTCAAAGAGTCGAGACTAGATACCCCTGAGTTGGTTGGGTGGATCCGATTGCCATTACCTATCTAGCGCTAGATAGCTCCTTTCGTTTCGACTTCTCTGCAGGTGGTGTGGCTGTGCTGCCACTTCCACTTCGCGCTCTCACTGCATTAACGCAGTAACTAGATACAGGGCTGCTCTTTGAGCATTCGCGACACAGATTTTCGATGCCTCAGACGAGGTGTTACGTCAAAGGGTGGGCAATCACGCAGGTGAGGCGATCATGAGCGAAAACCTAGTTTCGGATCAATGGGAAAGAAAAGTGTCAGACGGCCAGAAGCTACGGGATCACTGGGTAAGACTATTGGGGTGATGCTCGCTTCCTATGTCTGAGAACAGCGCCTCATGCCGACGGAGGGCAGTAAATGCATTGGATCAAGTGGCTGATGCAGTGGGGCAGTGGCCATTCAGAGGTCCCGTCATCTCGCCCAGACCCGATATAGCAGCACTATACCGACTAGTGGACTTCAGTAGGCGATAATAGTCAAGTGGGATTCTCGCGTATTTACAACACGAATGGCTGCCGAAACCCACCATCACCGGGCAACCAGAACATTGGCAGCCACCCAAGGCTCAGAAGGATTTCCACTGGAGCTTGTTGCGACTTAGCTTCCGCATTGCGCCCAATCATGGCCTGACAAGAAACCCGGTCCACCCCAGTCGGTGTCTCCACCATCATCCACTGAATCCTCAGTATACCACGCGCTGCCCCTCCATTGCCTCTTTGGGTGCCCCCAACAAGCCCCTCACGGCTCCAACCAGACCGAGATCTCAGTCGGCCATGACGATGATATCATTTACCCCTCCATCAGGGGAAGAGAGGGACCCAGGGGGAGAGCCAACTCAACCTATTTCTACCCCTCCGTTTCCCCCCTGTCGTCCCTTTTCCTTCATCATCCACAAGCATATCTCTTCTATCATTCCACACATCTTCAATACACTTCAGCAATCATGGGTTGGTTCGGTAAGTGACCCTGAGTACTCCCCTCCGGTGTACGTGAGTCCTCGAGCTAACGGGTGCCCAGAATCTCGCGAGGAACAGGCTAACGCCTACAACGACACCCCTGTCGAGGAGCACAAGGCCAAGTTCAGCCACGAGCTCATCGGTGGTGCCGCTGCCTACGAGGCCATGAAGGCCTACGAGGAGCACCAGGAGAAGAACGGTCAGTGCCACCCCTAATCTCTTCTCTTCGATTCAGGATACTAAATTCCTCTCAGGCAAGCCCGCCAACCACGCCCAGGCCAAGGAGATCCTCGCCGGTCTCGCCGGTGCCTTCATCGACCGCGAGTTCGAGACCAAGGGTCTTGACCAGATCGATAACTGGCAGGAGAAGCGCAGACTTGCCAAGGAGCAGGCTGCCGCCCACATTGAGGACACCGAGGAGAGCCAGTTCGGCTTCTAAGCGATTGGAATATGAGTTGGACGCACCTATCTGTTTATGATGTACGGTAGTGTGTATGACATGAAATAGAATATACCACAATGAACAACCAACAACACAATTTTTTCAATCCATTGTAGAACAGTATGCATGCGTAGCTTCCAGGGTCAAGGCGAGTAGATAGCATCCTCCATGAGGGGTACTCTGCAACGTGGCAGTCGACGATCACAAGCCTGCATCCCACTGCAGAAGCACAGAGGGGCATCAGTGGCTTAACACGGACTGCACCCCGTCGTCATCGACTGCTGCATCTGACCAAACTGGGGAATATCTTTAGACAACAGTACCAGTGTATCACTAATTTTTATGCACCTTCAGGTCAATGGTAGTTATGTTTAGGTAACCCTTGTACAATATCCCTGTCGGTATCCCTGCTTCTTCTTCTAGGGTCTTTGTTTTTCCGGATATGTAGTTCCGACGAGGACCGCCGCGATTGGATTCGCAGTGCCGGTAGCACTAAGTAACACTAGCACCGACCGCGCCATTCCGACAACATCTGGCTCATTCGTCTGCTGTGGCTGCGGATGGCCAAAGAAAGAAGGAGGGGTAGTAGGCACTGCAGATCGAGTCTGGGATACTGTGAGAATATTGCAACAAATGTTTTCTCATTATGGATAGTAGTAATCGCAGCCTAAGTTATTATGAGCTCCCACCCTCAATTGCATATAAGTATTAATGAAGGGGTTGTTGTTCATTCTGCTAACTGGGGATATATATTTCATGTAGCTGTCCAAATGAACCGAACTGAATTTTAGGAGAGTGCGTTAGGTAGTAGTAGACAGTTATTGATCACAAGAGCAAATTTTCCATCACACTCCCTGTAAGTATCAGATCTCTCCAGAATTCTGGGTAACAGTTAGAGCCAATGCTCCGTACAACTAGTACTCAGCAAACCAAAGAGCAAGATGCCTAATAAAAACACGCGCCGGAACCGCTGCCGCAAAAGGAACTCTATTCTGCCATCACGTGCTCTACCGCTCCACTGACCGCCCAAAGCGGCAGAACCTAGCGAACCTCGCTCGAAAAACCTCGGATTTAAGCGGATTTAAGCGTTTCCAGTTCCCGAACACTCACCGTGGAATCTGTATAAAATTTGACCGCCTTTGTTGACAGGCTGGCAGAAAATGAGCTCTGACCGCTCACCACACCGCTTCAGGCGGCAGAACCTAGTCGACCTCGTTGAAAAAATCGCGGATTTAAGCGGATTTAAGCTTTTACAGTCTCAGAATGCTTACCCTGGATTCTGTGAAGTTTTTGACCGCCTTCATTGTGAGGGGGCAGAAAATGGTCGGCGCCTGCACCTGATACTGTGTAACCATGTTTTGTTTACAGCTACTCTCTCGGTTTACTTTCAGATGGCTATATTACAATATGAGCTGTTGACTGCCCGTATTACTGTTGTCTCTTTAATTGTTGAGGTCCTATATTGCTTTTACTACACCGCCTGAGGCATTAGATCCATGCCTGACGGTCGGCATTTATGAGACACCTTAGGCACTCTACATAGGACACAGTATGACCTAGGTGCCCCTTGAAAGGATGTATGTAGCTGGCAACATGGCGAGAGTCGATTCTGGATAACTGCCTCCCAAAGTCTTACAATGGCCAAAGATTCATATGGATCTGGCCTGTTCCTTACTTTGATTGACTCGCCGCGAGCTCATCCAACCCCTGGCCAGTGCTCATCATGCGATCCTACTCAACATTAGCAATAACACATAACACCCTCAGTAGAGTAGGACAAACTCACAGCCAACCACCCTGGCACCCATTGAGAAACAAACTTCACCGCACCACTGTTCGGCCCGCGCCAGAGCATGCCATTTCCTGTTGTACCCAGTACATCAGGCAGGATCAAATCCGCCAGCTCCTGTGCCGAACATCCCTTTGGACTCGCCTCGCCCGACGCCCAGCGGGAGATGGTCTGCGCGATAGCTGCATACCGTGAGCTTGGCGGGAGGGTGAATGTGGGCTCGTTTGCGTGGAAGGGCGTCGTGACGGTGCCGATCATGAGCGTGGCCACGGATACGCCTAGCGGAGCGAGTTCGAGTCGCAGAGTCTCGGAGAGATTGCTCAATGCGGATTTCGAGGATGAGTAGATGCCTGTATCACGTTGTTAATGTGACACTGCATGGCGACCGCGGGAAGGAGATTGATGTACCGATCCATGGTGTGGGGACTACAGCACCCACGCTGCTTATGTTGACGACGCGTCCACCGCGGGATAGCAGCAATGGTGCTACAGCTTGTATAAGGCGCAGCGGACCCCAGATATTGGTCTCGTAGACCTGCTGGGCCTGGGCGAGGTCGACGTCCAGAAGGGGCATGGTGTATCCAGAGCCCGCATTGTTTATGAGAATATCGAGGCCTGCTCCGTGATGCTCCACCGCCTGAACGGCTGCAGCTACGGATTCTGGTGAGGTGACTTCAAGCTGGAGAGGGGTGACATTGGACAGAGTGGTGAGAGACGACGGAATCTTGGATGGTGAACGCGCAGTGGCGAAGACGTGGTGGCCTTGATTGGCGAGCGCCTCGGCCAGGGCCGATCCGATGCCGTTGGCGGAGCAGCCGGTGATCAGGATGGTCTTAAGGGAGGGCATGGTGGCTCAAGCTCATACAAATCATAACGGGAGCAACGCTCGGTGGGCTGGCTTTAAATGCCCCGATTGACAACTGGGGCAGCGTCTGGAACCCTCGGGTATATCTTAGTCTGTGATGGCCAGGCAGTAGTGTATGTGATCGTCCAGTCCAGCTGAATTCTGATAGGTTGGATGAGAAGCTATCCTAATTCAGGAAGTCTTAAAGATGGCCCAGGATGGATATCCCTGTTCGAGGCTGTGTTTCTTTGTTTCCCCCCTGTTGCAAGTAGGTTCCAATCCATACTTGTGAATGATGGTGAATTATGGTCTCTATCACAGCACTGCGTTCTCTTATAGCACGCTCGAGACTACAAGTTCTAACCTAGTTAGTTAACTAGCAGGACGATCTAGCTTAATCAGCAACCCTTGTTACTGCCGTAAACTGCCAACTGCAATTCGCTTCGGGGCTTAACCGACCGTTCTTTGTATTCACGCTGCTAACACGTTAGCTTGACACCCTATTGGGCATCGAGCAGCCAGCGCGCAGACAGACCCACTGGCCGTTCAGGGTCATGGTGGTGCCGCCTTATATAGCAGGCCGCATGTTGCCATCATGTCGTTCGCAACAGCAGAGTAAGGGCATTTCCAGCTGATAGATCCCGGTAAGGGATAAACTGTAGGGCAGTTTCGTGTCTTGATTATTCTGTCCTTGGTAGGTCACATACTTTTCGAACGTAGATCTCCCTGGTACAGCTTCACTAGCACCAACATGTGATTGATTGACAACAGGTTCTGGCTCCTTGCATGTTACACCTCGAAACGCAGTGAATAAGCTAGAATAACAATGACGTTACACACAAGAGGACTGAAGGGTACCTATAAGTAGTTCAGATCTCCCTTGATCTTTTCACATTCTTCTTCAATCATATTTCGCGAATATACTCCCGAATCAGACACCATGACGAGGTAGCGTTATGAAATCTGAACTGTATTCAAACCTAGTACTAATACCTCGTGTCCCAGCATTTTAGAACGCATCCGCTCCAAACAACCCATCAGCTTCACTGAAGCCAAGGCCTACTTTGACGAGAGACCCCCTGTTCGCCCAAGCTTCCTGTTAGGCGAATGGAAAGGTACTCCTCTTGAGACAGGTAACAAGCTCGTGGCGGCCCTTCAGAATGCCAACTGGGCTGGGAAGGATTTTCACGGAGTCGACCATGTTGAGCCCATGGTGTGTCTCGACGATAAAGGCTGTCGGTTCCCTAACCCCTACTGGGGTGGTGCAAGGGTATGTTGTCCTTATCCTTGGATGTGAATCCGATGGCTGACTGTCAAGATTCGCGAGGTAAAATATAATGACGTCGTGTCTGCCGCAATGGTCTATAATGAACGACCTGTTATTGACTATTTTCGCTATGTGGATGAGAATACTGTCATTGGGGTGATGGATAGCCCTGAACATGATAGTTCTAGCCAGGAGGGAGACCGTTTGTATTTTGTCTTGGAGCGGATCAAGTGAAGGATAGTTCTTTGTAGATGCTGAGTGGCTGAGGCTTGTTGGTGACTTGACTGAGGTGATTGGCCTTGTCCTCTGGCATAGTGTCTACTTGTTGCACAGAACCAAGAATATCTCTATCTCTTATCCATCGTTCATTTTAAGAGAATGGTTCTATATAAGCATTATATTCCTGCAGTCATGTTTAATCTTCAATTTCGATGCATCAGACAATTCACACTGATATAAGGTCTTGGAGAATTGATGGTGACCCATATAGCGCTAGTATTTGCGGACCAAACAGCTGTGAAGACAAAGAAACCATCATCACCAGTCAGAGCACACCGATCCTTGTGTACTTTCTTTCTTGTCTTGTTACTTGTCGCTAACTTCTAGTTCCGAACATCATATCTCCAAAGTAAGATCCGGAAATGCTTGCTTCGTGCGTTCAGGTAGCGTCTTGAGGTACTGGCCCCATTCATCACGACACTGACCGCAGAGTTCCACGCCGCCGAAGCAATGGGCCCTCTGTGCTCCATATGCCTTGCGGTATACACATTGGTTACAATGCTGGCTGTCAACTTCCAAATAGTCTGCCAACCCCGGGAACATAAGGTCATCACATCGGGCAATAAGCAGGTTGTAGCGCCTGACATCTAGAGACATGACTGAGCCTGCATCCACGCGGTTCCAGAGCTTGAAGTTTTGCCGCGCTTTGTTAATGACCTCCTCAGACTCAGTCTTTCCGATCGACAGCCCGTCGTCGACAAATCGATATCGCCGCATTGTAGTTTGAATTGGCCCACCAAAGCTTCGGATGAAGTTGATAGTAGCCATATAGCCAGACATGCCTGCCATTACCACATCTACTGCCCAAAGGATTTCTCGCGCCTGGTGGAATGCATTGACGCGTTCATTCTCTGGTATATAAGCAAATGTACTGTTCGTTTCCCCCTCAGTTCGATGCTTGAAGAAGGATACTGCATCATACAGAGTAGATCCTATCTCTGCCAGAATTTCCCACTACTCCTCTGTATACCATGTATCCAGTAGGTCATTGCAGGCAAGAGCTGCCGCAATAGTAAAGCGGGCCAAGCCATCACAATCCCGCATCCGAAACCACTGTCGTGGTGAGCCTACAAGGGCATCCACATAACGACGGAACAATTCACTGTCATTTCTATGATGACCTGTCTTCTCGGATGTGACAAGGAGGAAGCACTTGAACTCCTGAGCCATGGCGGTATGTCCCGGCGTATCATGGAAGAGATCATCTAAGACAGCCTTGAGGTCGTAGCCAAGGACCTCAGCACTGGCGGCCACGTCCACCAAGTCCCCGCGGAACTCACAAGTGATGCTGATGACCATCGTGCGCATGAATGCGACATAGCGCTTCCAGTTTGTGTATTGGGGGATCACAGATCGGGCATACTCCCAAGCACATGCCAGAATCTCATTCTTCCTCTCCGTTGGTAGTTCGATGCCATCAAGATCGTGGGCTATGTCTTTCGGATAGAACCATCTGTTTTGAATGGCCATGCTTTCTGTCAATGAGGTGAATATTATCTCGAGATTGGTATATAATATAGGACTGAGGGGGTTTCTGGGAAATGCAATCCTACGCACCATCCACTGATTTAAATACATTACTGACATACGGATTCTCTGGTTTTCCTACTCTTTTCGTTATCGGACATCCTTGGTATTGCAGGTGCTCCAATGCTCCGTGCGTTCCTGGGCAACCAATGGATTTCCATAAATTATAATTTCCAGGAAGATCGGCGAGAGTTGTGTTGCACACGGCCATTGATATTCCATCCGAATAGGTTGTGACTGACTCATAAGAAGTACTCCATTAGTAAGGATGTGTTATCGCCCCTATCAGCTTTGATGATCTGAGGGTACTGAATTGTTGTTCGACCGAAATGACCCACACAGCTATGAAAGCATTACTCCGCACCGCAATCTTCAGCCAGCCCTCTTCCATATTGGATGTATTGCAGCATGTGCAAGACGGCCCCCTTGGTCAGAAAATAACGCTCCTGCATTGGCTGGTGTCTGATAGTTTGTTCTACGTCGAAATCAACCCGATCGATATGCTGGGAAACTCTTTCTTTTGGAATCGAATCATTGCCTGCGGATATGGACCTATCGCCATTGTGCTCGCGCTTATTCTAGGGGGAGTGATGATGTGTACTGTCGTGGGACTAGGCATGAGACGTTTCGCATCACAGATGCCCATTGCAGGTAGCTGCAGTGCAGAAATCAGCGCTGCGTGTCATCCAACAGAGGGTGAGCAGCATGCCCTGAAGCCGATCATGTGGGGTGAAATTCCGGGGGCCGCAGTGCACCCGGAAAATGGAGACGATGCGGACGAAATCACCAGTGAACATGAACTGGAAGACAGGAGGGATGGGAATAGTGGTTATTCGCCGTTGAGCAAAGACACGGCTGGCGAAGGGGGTGTTTATGGCCATTGCAGTTTCACCTTGGGGGAAGTGGTCACTCCAAAACCATCAAGACTGTATATGTAGACCCATACGTAGATTCCAAGCAAAGACAGGACAAAGTTACAGTGGCATATTGCTCTAAATCGGAGTGGGAGGGATGTCGAATGTTGGTCGGACCCGAATGCCGGACACGACATTCTCGCAGAGGCAATGACATACAGGTACTAGAAGCAAGGCAACTGTCAGCTGTCATTAAATGAGAGGCGTACTTTGTGGAATCATACGAGCCCTCGACTTGTCCGCCTGACCATACAGTGGATATCACGCGGCGCCTGCGACTTGAGCCGACAATCACTTGTCCCAACGCCTACAGCCCACAAATTAATTACTAACACATCATTCTAAGGACAAGATGATTCTTGTTTGTAGCAGTGTGCAAATTGACGAGTGCAATGTGGAACAAAGTTCATCCTGATCCCGCTTATGCTTACTTGTTTGTACGTCATTTTCACTTTCAGTCTTCATCACTGCCATCTAGAACCTCCTCTCCGAATGAGCTTGGAACCCAGGGAAATTTGACTTTATCGGCAATCACGACCGACCCAATGTGCAATCAAGCCACCAGCTTGCCAGGGGTCAACACCCTGAGAATACGAACAATACCCATGACTGATTAATCATTGAAAAAATTGCTACTGGAGCACGCACCGACACTATTTACAGAAGGCCGAATATTGCAGTGTTCCTCAAAGGGAAGCCAGCATCTCAAGCACTGAACTTCTCTGGATTAGCCTCCACCCACTCATGCAACCGTGTCGCCGGCCTGCCAAGGTACTTTTCAATATTGCCAACTGCAGGCCCATACCGGGGGCTGTCCATGAAGGACTGACCATTCGCCGCGTTCTGGCAAAATCCAAGCACCGATCGCGCGATTGGCTCGGGCAGCCCGGACTCATTCACCAAGCTGTCCAAGGCTCCATTCTCACCCACCTCAGAGACATTGACCTCCTTGCCAAGAACTTTGCCAATAGTCTTGACGGCATCCCCAACGCCCATCTTCTCCGCGCCGACCAGATTCACGTACGGCTCGGCCAACGAGAGATCAGTTCCCTGGGCCCTGTGGGCAAGGATCGTGCCGCAAACACCTCCAATATCTTCCGGAGAGATCCAGTCAAAGGCTGCAGCAGGCCAAGCGAGCTTCACATGTCCGGTCTGAATGGGAGCCTTCCACCAGAGCGTGTTACTCGCGTAAAAGGCCGGCCGGACTGCTACATAGCTATTCGCTCCGAAGATCTCTTGCAAAGAGATCTCGGCCTGCGCATGCACATAGGCGATGTGATCCTCGGGCGACACATTGCGAACATCTTCCTGAATGCCGAAGCTGCTCAGCAGAACGACAAATTCGATTCCTGCCTCTTTGAGAGCGGTGAAACTCGCTCGCATGTGGTCAGATGAAGTCAGATCGGTGTAGATGAAGGCGTGCTTGGCTTTGCTCTGAGCTACTGCAGTGGAGATAGTATCTGGCTGCGAGAAGTCGGCCTGCACCCGTTCGAAACCTCCCTCGCTTTCCTTCTCCGCACTAAGACCGGGAATGGGTTTCGTGGGGTCGCGCATGGCGAGATACACCGTGGTTCCTAGTTGCTGGGCGGTGCGCGCGGCGGCCGAGCCGACCGCGCCTGTTGGACCAAAGACGATAACGGGAGCCATGTTGGTATATGCGAGTGACTATCAGGATGTCTACGCTGTGTCTCTCATATATAATGGTTGTCGTCGACAGTGGGTCGTGATTGCGAATTTGTCAGCCTCGGTCTCGGACCCACGGCAAACCGAAGAAGCGAACCGAGATGTGATGGAGTGATGTCATGTTGCTCCATCTATCGTATCAGTCAAATGGTCTTTACTGTATAGTGGAAAGGACGAGAGTGAAGAATAGTTAAATGTTTGTCTGATAGAGAAGCGATGTAAATCATAATAGAACAAGAAATGCCATTCAATCCCATATTACCATCACAGCACTTTTCAACCCTATTAAACCCAACAAAAAACATAAACCCAATATACCATATGAACAAACCAATCACGCTCTCAACTTCAACATCATCAGACCCAAAACCCCCGAAACAGCCCCAACCTTCACCCAACTCTTCCAACTGCACCCATTGCTACCACTACCATGCAGTCATTCCCTCGACAACCACTCCTCCACCATAGCCTCAAAATCCGGCTTATACAACCACCCCAACTCAAACCCCTTCTCCTCCTCCTCCTTTTCCCCATCATCCTCCCCAGCAGGCCTCGGCATCCTCCTCTTATCAATCTGCGCATTCAACGCCAACACCCTATCCACCCTCTCCTGCCTCCCCCTCTGCCAAACCTTCAACCCCCTCTCCAACCCGCCCTTCTGTCCCTGACACCTCGCCAAAACCAACGCATACGTAAACACATCCTCGAACGCCTGATTAATACCCTGCCCCGCCGACGGCGGAATCGCATGCGCCGCATCCCCCAGAATAACCACTCGGCAATGCTCCGAACTCCACTTCTCCAACTTGGGGACCATATAAAACGGCCACAGGTTGATTTTCTCCGCAGAGATGTTCGATACAGCCCGCTGCACTATCTCGGGGAACTCGTCCGCCCCTTCGCGCAGGAACTCGACGCACCAGTCCTTGTCGTTCATCAGCTTGGTCCATCCCTCCCGGTCGAGTTGGGCGGACCGTTTTTGCCGTCCGATGAGCACCTCGGACCCGTCGCGGAGTTGGGGCGCGATGACGAACGCCCCGTGGGTTTTGTTCATGATTGTTACGGGGATGTTATACCCCTCCGGGATGGCCAGTTGGGATGTAGGCACCGCGGCGGTGACGGCCATGGCGTTCATGAATTTGGGTTCGAGGTCTGGGTACAGGTATTTGCGGACTTTGGAGTGGATGCCATCGGCGCCGACGAGACAGGTAGCGGTGGAGGTGGTCCCGTCTTCGAATTCCCAGGTTATGTTCGATTCGGTTTCTGTGATGACTCGGCTGAATTTCTTGTGGTAGTGGATCGGGATCCCGGCTTCGGAGACCATCGCGGAGAGTTCCCGGATCAGCACGTGGCGGTAGATGCGCATCCCGCTGTAGCCGTATTTGGCGGCGTTGCCGAACTCGTATGTGTCCAGGGGGGTGTCGGCCGGGGAGCGGAAGTAGAGGTTGTCGAAGGAGTAGGCTTCCGGGCGGATCCGGCTGTAGACGCCCAGGGTGTCGAGGATGCGGAGGGCGTTGGGGGAGAGCATGATGGCTCCGCCGATGTTGAGCGGAGCGGAGCGTGCCTCGTAGATGGTGCAGGGGATGCGTTGCTGGTGCAGGGAGAGGGCCAGGGCTAGGCCGGAGAGGCCGGCGCCGATGATGGCGACGTGGGTGGACATGGTGTGATGATAGGGCGGAGGATGAATGTGTTGTAGGTGTGTAGATATGCAGAGATGCGGAAATGTGTAGATGGTAGATGTGCTTGCTATGCTGTGCTGAGATGATGCTGTGTCTGATGAACTCAAACTACAGCGGGACTTCGTTCCTTATATACCACACTCCTCGCCTTCATTCACAGGCATCCGTTTCAAGTTTCCGCCCCTTAACCCCGTGGCCCGAGTCATCTCGGGATTATCCAGCTGCCCGATGCCAGCACATAATGGAGTATAGGGGAAGTGTTACACAAACTGGTGACAGTGTTGGCTGATTGATAGTAGTAGCTTAGTGACGGGAATGATCGACGTCGGGCGGAAGCTGACCTGAGCTGAGATGAGCTGGTGGTCCGGATCCGAACCCGGATCCGATGGAGTCGGGGTTTTGGAGTACGTTACCCCTTTGGAATTGTCCGAGGGGAGTGTCGGGTATTGCCTGGTGTATATACACAGGTGATACTAGCAGTTATTTTGTTGAATATAGACAGGGTAGTGCCGTATTGGTGCAAGGTTGGTTGTGAGGATAGTTCATGGTGGGCTTGCACTACACACAGCACGGCGATTTCTGCAGACAATTTGCACCGGGGTATCCATTCACACATAAGTACACTATTACCAAGCAATACACAATTAAATAATACACTGGGAAACTCATCAAACTGGATACAGTGAAGAGGCGCTATGTACATCCCATCTATGAAGCACCAAACACCATCCCACTTTTCGCTCATAACCAAATCAGCGATTAACTGATTGTAACCAATACTAAACTGACTGTGACTGCACAATGCATATCGCTGCGTCATTCGTCGTAGGCCTTATTATCGACAAACTGAGATAATGCAGGCACTAATTTACATGTTCCAGGCAAACGATCCATCTTCAAATGCAAATGGATCACCGCGGAAGTTGTTGAATTCTGTCGCCAAGGCAGACGACTCCGCTAGGAAGTCGGGCAGCTGTGGCTGCGTGGAGGGCGTGTAGCCGGGGTCTGTGGTAGTAGGGAAGATAGGCTGTGTGGTTTGAAGCTAGAAACATTAGCATGGATCCATAACAATATTGATAAAAAAGGGGGTATACCATTTGTGCAAAATCGGTCAGGTTAAATGCAAACGATTGCTGCGCTACAGACGGCAACAGATGCTGTCGACACGCCGACAGCGCCTTCACAGCCCCCTGCTGCATCCACCGCTCCTTGAGCTCGGCGGACCCCCGCGCCCGCACCGATTGCAGCACCACGGCCAGCAGCATGACATCTTTAATGTTGCTGCCGGTTTCGCCGATCGTGCGGGTCAGCCCGTCGAGCGTATTCTCGACAATGCGCGTAAGACTGGCCTTGGTGTGTGTAGTCGTCGGCTGACTGGGCGAGTAGGCGGGAGCGGGCGCCATCGGCGTCGGGGCCCCGGAATGCTGCTGGTTGGACAGTTTCATATACCCGCACACACTCAGCGCAGCCCATGGAATATCGTTCTTGCAAAAGAGCTGGAACACGTCCCAGTAGGCAGTTGATTTGAAGACGTCCAGATCCGCCACGTTAGGATCGAAGTAATCCTGGTAAGAGAGCACCACCAGCGAAGACTCCAAACACGCTTGCTCGATCTCCAGGAAGAGTTGGTCCTCGCGACTCTCGCCCATGACGATCGGCCGGTAGAGGCACAGCAAGGGTCGACGCATGTATACGTCCAGCAGCACCCGGTTCAACAAGAGGGCTGGTCCAGGGGTCTCTCCATGAATCGGTGACGGATCCAGCTTAAGCGGGGGGGGAATCTGTCGCAGACATTCTTCCAGACGTCGGCCCTGCTTGACAATGTCGCGCAGATCCAGTCCCGGGCTCGAAGTGCGCACCAACGACATAGCTCGGATGCGGTGGGGTAACGAGGAGGCCAAGGTGACTTGCGCGAGGGTATCCGTCCACTCATGCAGTGGTTTCGCCGGCGGCAGCTCCGTGGTGGATTCGTCGAAATCGGTGTCATTCAAATTGGTCGGGATAAGCGGATCAAAGTCCAGATCCGGGATGGTCACGGGCATACCCGAGGCGATGGAGGTTTGCAGGTCCATCTCCACAATAGTAATCCACAAGCGGCGCCGGACTTCGATCTGAAACGGTGAGAGCTGCTTATTCCCGGACAGATCCAAATGCAGGCCCACCACCATGGCCGACCGCACGAGCGTGCCGGTGGCGCGCCACAGCTCCTCCTGCGAGGCCAGCCGCAGTCGTCGCGCCAACAACACGAGCGCCTCAATCTGCAACGAGACCAGCTCGGTGCGCTGCTTGCGCCCCAGCTTCTGCAGCCATACGCGCACGAGGTTGACGGCGGGCGTCTGCAAGTACTCCCAAACGGAGGAATACTCGAGTCGGAAGCTAGGGTCTTCCAGAGGCAGCGCGGCTGCCAGAACGGCCGTCAGTTGCGGCAAGAAAGTGGCGGAGCGTTCAGCGTCCGGCCCTGGAGTGGTCCAGAAATCGGCATACTGGCGGAGGAAAGAAGGGACGTGCAACATGCGTAGGGTACGTTCAAAGTTGGTGGTGTACAAGTTCACGAGTCGGTCACAGACCGCTTTAGATGGTAGAGAGCTCTGCATCTGCAGCAGCTCGGGCGAGTAGTCGAGGTCGGGCATAGATTCTGGTGAGCTCATGGGCAGCTTAGATTTACTCTGTAGAAACTGGACTTCCTTGGCCAGCCCCAAGATGGCAGAGTCCTTGGTGCAGCGTTCAATGAACTCTCTCGCTTCGGAGAACTACAAGCTGTTAAATACGCATCCCACTGACAAATCTAGATCGGGATTACCTGATGCAACAAGGTGGTCCGGTTGTTCTGGCCATGGTAACGTGATCGCGTGCCCTTTCCTTTGACGACTAGAGTACCGGGATACGGGGGAGCATGGGTCGACGGGGTGGTCTGGCGGACAGACGGACTGGCATCGCGGGCCACCACATCCTTAAGGGAGCCAGCATACGAGCGCGTCAGCGGCTTCAAGGAGAGCACCTCTTCTACACGCTGCAATCGTTGCTGAAGATCCTCCAGCAGACCGATAGCAGCGGGCGGCGGAGGCAGCCTGGCACCAGCCGGATCTCCCCGAGGATCGGAGGGAAACGGGAAGTCAGGTGGCAGATGCATGCGCTTCGCACTGGGCTGGTCCGGCAGACCATCAACGCCATCAGGACTGGGATGGAAGACACAGTCCGGGGCACAACCTGCTTTGGAGCAGTTCTCGCAGGGCATGACCCGGTCGCACTTGAGCTTCTTCTTGCGACAGCGCAAGCACGAAACCACGGGCCGGGGACGTTTGCGGGTCAGGGAAGCGTCCCCGGCCAGCTCGGTGGGCGGGGAGATCTGGCCAGACACGGGACTCATTGCTGGCAAAAGAGATTTTCGGAGAGTGCTCGCGTCGGAGATGGGAAACAAAGTCGCACAAGGGGAGCCAGTCTAAGGAAAGAATGGGGGTAAGGGTTGGCGTGTGAGGGGGAGACAATAATAAAGACCAGCAGGTTTCAAGAGTGCGACTGGGCCACCGTCACATCGAGACTTCAGGCTAAGCTGACAGGCGCGCAAGGCGGATGCAGTGCAGCAGTAGTAGCAGTAGCAAGCAGTAGCAAGCAGGGGCCGTCGTAGGAGTGGATGCAGGAAAGTAAGACGAGGAGATTATTGGCGATGGGAGGAATCCACAAGTCACAGCCAAGTCTGACATCCACCCCAAGACTGCTTGTGTTTGCCTTCCTCTGCCCAGCTCTTAGTCTACTTTCTGGTTCAACTGGTGGAGCAGAACCATAACAACAAGGGCTGCGAGACTCTCTCTCCACTTTTTGCCCCTTAGAGCTTTCTCCAGGATGCCACATAGACTAACAGTGCAGATTGTCTTTGTTTGTCCGTTCACCGCCTTCCCCTCCAAGTAACTTACCAGGCTACAGCGGATCTGCTTACCTCAGCCTCGTATCGACTCGCGTTTATCTCGTATTGCTGCCTGACCAGGCCAAGCCAAGATGAAGACCCTGAAAATCATCACTGAGGAAAAGAAAAGTTTATCGCATTTCTGCTGAATAAATAGAAAAAAAAGCCACAATTAATACGAAGCCAAGAGATCTGATAACATACATAAAACTTCACGCCATGCCAGGTGTAAATGCCCAGAGATGATGAAACACAAACCATGAGGGGAAAAAAAAAAGAAATAGAATAAGAAACAATCATTGCCCTGTCGATCTAACCCTGAATCGTCTCCAAATTCTCCGCTCCCACCCGCTCCGCCCCGGATCGGCCCTCGTGAGATGATGGGAGATTGCCCATGTCAATATCTAGAACAGATCGAGAAAAATTCTAGTTGGTGATCACTGGTGCCGTGTTATCCCATTTGTTGGTCTCAGCAGCATCCACCAACCAGCGGGCCACCGTGATCCGACTGGTGCTGGCCATCATGGGCACTCCCTTGCCATGATCCGGCCACACTTTGACCGGCTGGTTGGCATCGGGCGTCTCCACCAGCCGCGACGGTCGCACCATCACATAGTCCAGTCCACTGGCCTGCACTGCCTTGGCCGTCGCGTTGTGATCGTCATACTGATACGACATGTTGGACTTCTTCATCAGCAGCCGCAGCACGCAGTGCATGTTGTCCCACGATTCCCCAACTCCAAACGCCTGCAGGATGACCGTTTTGCGTACTCCAAACTCCTTCATCGCCGCCAGCACGTTGTTGTTGCAGTCCGTCATCAGTCGAGGAGGTGAGATTGGCGCCGCAAAGGGGCTGTCGCTGGCCCGTGGGGCGTTGAGTGTCACAATTACCACATCTGGTATGTCGGCTTGGAACGCGGCACGGACATCCTCCAGTTCGGTGGGGGTTCCTGGTGAGGTTTTAGTTAGTTGGAGTCGATTCCTTTAGATGTCGAGAGACTATGACTGCGACTAACCTTGGACAACTTTTAGCCCGGCACGAGCTCCACCCAGTGATTCGGGCTTGCGGGCCAACGTGGTAACCTGGTGGCCTAGATTATTGTTAGCATTTTAGCCGATACAACCAATGAATTGCAAGTTGCAGCGAGAGACACTTACCGCGACTCAGCAGGTCATCGATGACGAGCTTTCCACACCGGCCACTTCCACCAATCACAAGAACGCGCATGATGTTATT